GGTCCAGCGTGGACAGGGGCTTCTGCTGCTGCGGCAGAACCGACTGCACGATGGGAGCACCCTTTGCTTTAGTGAGAAGATGCTATTTGAAGTTCATTAAAAGATGTTGTAGCATGCTGTTTCCCATATGGGTTTTGAGGGTCCTTCCTTATCAGAGACTCCCATTTTTGTCTCCTAAAAATTAATGACCCTGTTGCTATGAGAGCTGTGCTTTTACAATCACTTGTCCCGTACAGGACAGGTACACCTGGTGGTTTCTTTTCCTCATCTTTATGCAGCTCTCCCTGATTTGGGGGTGTTTCCTTTTTCTAGAAGTATGTCAAAGCAAGCGGACAGTAGTAAGTCTCAATCAGTGGTGGAGGAAGAGATTTTTCTCAGATAACAATTGCTATGAGAATGTCCCGAACTGTTAAAAATTAATCATTAATGAAACAACAGTTCTCCTTCCACATTACTCTTCTCCCCGCCAGGCTTTTGAGTCAAGATTAAATATTGTTTTCCCTGTTTTCTGAAGGGGGCAAGGAACACAAAGGTCTTGTCTTCGCTCTGGAATAAAGGTGAACTTTTAACTTGAGCTGCCAGCGCTGGTCGAAACCCCAGGAGAGATAAGGCACTTTGCATATTCTGCTTATTGATGGCAGTGGGGAATGAGGAAAGGGTAAGAATAGGATGGGCATTTCTCTGACTAATATGGGAGGAATACAACGGTCTGGTCTCTGATTAGACTTTACTATATTTGGCATGAAGTAAGAATAGATTTTGCCCAAGTGAAAACAGTATTTCTACACGTTCACCGGTGCTTGCCTCGCTTGCCTTTGGCCGTGCAGCTTGTGTTGCTGGGATTTTCCCCTGACGGATTTCGGAGCATGCGGGGCAGGCTGTGCGCTGCGGAGGCACAGCTTCCTCAGGGCTTGAAATGCCTTGGAAACTCCACCCTGCCTTCCGTCTCCCTTCACCTCCCGTAGCCAGGTCACAGCATGTTGGCCTCGTATCACGCAATGAACTTATCAAACACCTTTTTTTTTCTCTAGAAAACGATGCAGGAAACTTTCTCTTGCAGCTACCTAAGTCACGTTCTCATCCTTCCTGGAAGTTTTCTTCTTGAATCATGCTTTTGTCCTTTGCATAATCTTAGAAAAGCATGCCGCTTTTACAAAGGAGCTATGAAATTGTTGCGATAAGTGCTCAGTAGACAGGGGCCTGTCCGTCGTGCCCCAGGCGGTGAGCAAACCTCCCGTGAAAGGCTGCTTTCTCCCTGGGCTGGATCCCAAGGGCATTTAAGGCAAATTTGCTCTGTTGCTTTCACCGCTCTCAGCCGGCCGGTGTGAGGTTTGAGGGAGTTTGATGTGATGCTGTGATTTTATACCAGCTGTCTGGCTGCGGCCACGCTGTCAGTGGCCTGGGGGGGGGTGGCGACAGGACCCCCGTGTCCTGAGCCCTGGTCTCCTGCGGGGGGGGGCAATAATCAGGGATGCCCCGGACACAAGTCCACCGCAGGAGATTGCAGATTAAAAAGAGCTGGGACTCGTGCTGAGGTGGGAGGGTGGCAGAGCAAAGCAGAAACAGGCAACGGAGCAGAGAGGGGAATGAAAGTGCCCAAGGAAGCCAGCCCCTGCTGTGCCTCTCCACGTGCTGGCTCACGAAGCCACGGCGATCGCGTGCAGTTTCCTTGTGGAAAAGGCAGATCAAGGGCTTGTTAGAAAACGAGTACTGTCTTTTCCCAGCACCGCTGTAGGAGGCCTTGCTGGCTGGGACTGTGTCTAAGACAGCTCAGGCAGCAGCACTGCAAAATTACTTTTTCTTCCTTCCAACAAACGCTGCCTTACCAGCCTGAGCCGGTGGAGAACAGAGAAACACACTCAGCCTTCACAGATCCTTGGTCTCTGTTGCAGGAGGAAACTGTTATAAGCTGCAGCAATTCGCTGTGATCCAAATGAAAACGCGGCTTGCAGGTATTGCAAAATGCATTCTTGGCGCTGTGCAGATACTGCAAGTTCATCACCTGGAAAGGAAGGTCCTGCCCACAGCCCCGGTGCAGATACCTACTGTCCGACTCCATTGTTGTACATACAGAGCCAGTTACCACGGCTCTTCATGCTCGAGCCCTGTTTATCGCAAAGTAAATCTGCCTACGAGTAGTTAGTGAACCCCTGCATTGAAGATGGACGTGCATCTTCTGAAGCTCCTGCAATGCAGCCGCTTCTGGGGTGGAGAAGTGCCGCTCTGCTGCGTGTGCTCAAAGTATTTCTGAGTCGGGTTCATCTGGCCACTGAAAAACGCTTTAGTGCCTGCAGCAGCTGCTGAAATTAGGAGGAAATGAAATACCTTCTTCTGGATTAGATATTGCAAAATCTCTCATCCCAGCCTGTGTGAAAGTTCAGCTGCTTCCTTTGTTTATGAGGTGAAGGATATTTTTGTCAACTCCAGTGTTTGATTTTTTTTTTTTTATTTTTAAATAAGTGTCTGTTTCTCTATTTATTGGAAGTCTAAAACCTCTTTGTACTCTTAAAATCAGCTTTTAGCAGCTGGGCTTTTCATTAAAGGTGCTGATAGGTCATGTGTTATCGCAGGTGACCTTCAAGAACAGTAAAGGGCAGGTTTTGATCCTGAAGGTGATGGTGGGAAAAGATGAAGCCCTCCTACCGGCGTCGTTCCAGGCGAGGGCCCCCCGCGGCGCCTTTCCATATCTCTTTCTTGCAGCCGCACTATCTCAGCGGTGGTTTGGGGACTTTTTCTCTCTTTGCCTTTCCCTGGTCAGTGAGTCTAACCAGCAGCAGTTCCTCCTGTGCTGGGCATAGAAAGAGAAATGCATGATAGAGGGTCCCACACATCTGCAGCCATGAGACGTACAGGTCACTAACCAGCCCGGACCTGACTTCTGTACGTGGTGAAGGATGTTCATGACGTGGCTCCTTCTCTTTTTGGCGTGTGTGCATTTGTGACAAGGCCATTGCTTGTTAGACTTTGAAAATGGCTGCGGTGGAGCTGGTGAAGAGCTGCCTTTGGCTACCCCCAACTGCTCAAAGTCGACTTCTGGCTCTCGTCGGACGCAGTGAAGGATTGGTCCAGGCACTTGTCCTACCTAGGCTGCTCTACTCTGGTTAAACACACCGGATTAAATTATTCCTGATCCGTACTGAAATGAAAGGAAAACCAGACCCTCAGGGTTTTTTTTGTCATGGACACTTTATACTCAGTGGAGGGAAGCTGGTCTCGTAATGGAAATAGCGGAGGGGGCAGCCTGGGCGGCCAAGGGGACTCCCTGAAGGTACTTCATGATGTACCCTGTCCTTCGGACCGTGGGCTCTTTTGGGGCAGGGACTCTGATGTGACTCCCCATGACTATACCTTAGTCGCTTTCTGTGACGCAAACGATATTTCATATACCCAGAGCAGGTGTTTTATGGTGGTAGCCGTGTTCCTCGAGTAGCAGGAGGCAGAGCTCCACCTTTGCGAGGCGTGCGTGGCTTTCCTGAAGCAGGCTGCAAAACGCCTGCAGTTATTATGGAGGAAAACTTGTGTTTCCTCAGTCTTATCAAAGCTGGACAGTCTGCTCTATATATGACTTGTTTATTTATGATCTCTTTTGTACCTTGTGAAATGACTAAAGAAAAAAGTAACTGCCGTCCTCAAAAACTATGTAGATAATTACTGATGATGAAATAGCTGCTCTCGGCAATACTTGCATAGTTTTACGTTTTCCGGGCAGACCTCTCTGATCCTTCAGTTAATAATTACACATGAGAAGGTACCAACTTATGGCAGGGTGATATGGAAGTAGTAGAAGATGCAAAGTAAACTTGACAATGTCAGGAAAACAATGTTTTGTTTTGGTTTTGTGTAAGTGTGCTCAAATGTATCCAGCAAAGAAGTGGAATTAATGGCCTCTTCTCATCAGTTATCCACCCTTCCCAACAGAAATGGCCCTGACCATTTCTGGCTTTGCGAAGGAGGTGCAGTAACGCCGTTGAGGAGCGCTTGTGCTGATCCAGAGGCAATCTGGCACGGCCCTTTCTTCGGCTTCGCGGATGGCATCACTTTAGACTAATATGACGTGACTCATCAGATCAATCTCTTGAGCAGACAGTCTCTTGACATCAAACGCGACAACAACAAGGCAACGACACTGCTATAACAACTGCAGAGCCTTGAACTGAGCTCTCTGGGATGACATCAGAAGGGGTATTACCTCCGAGAAGTGCCTGCCCATTCTCCCCCACCTCTGTTCTGCCTTGCAGTGACCTTTTTGCTTCTGCAGTACGCTTTCTCAGGAACTAATTATCGAGTCTGGAGTAGTTTTGCTCATACTTTGCTTTATCTGAGATCCCTGTCGCCAGCCAATCTCCCCCAGAAAACTGGCTCTCCAAACCGCATGGCTGGCTCTTCAGCCTCAGGTGAATTGCAAAACCCCACGTAGTTTCACCTTCCTGTTGTAACATTTCATTATAAGTTTTCCACCCCCCACCCTACCTCTGCTTGAATTCTCTGAGAATGGCGAAATACATCAAAGCCTTTGGAACTAGGAATTGCCAAAACCAAGGCTGTTTCCTACTCTTCTTGTTTCTGCCGACACCCGCAGTGCCTGCCGACCTGGAGCAACGTGCTGTCTGAACCTCCCCTGGCCGTCTCCTCTGCATACAGAGGTTGCAGCTCCTCTAAGATCTTAGTTGTCTTTGGCTTCTCCCATTCAGGGTAAATACGTTTAAACCTTTACGGAAATACGTTGTGGTTTGTGTCTGCTCTGAGACGGGAAACCAATCAAGTGTGCTTTGTTGAGAGTCTTGGTTCCAGCTTTTCCGAGAGCCACGTTAACAGAGCGGTGTAAAGGTGAGCTTGGCCCCGGCTTGGCTGCCAAGGAGAAGCCTGTGAGGGTGGGTATGATGTCAGGGAGTCGCCACGGGTTTTGCCACCGCAGAGACTGGTAGCTTCTAGGTAAGCACGGTCGTAAAGAATAAACTCGCTGGATGAAGTGATTTCCTCTCTCTCCGTAAAACCCCTACCTTTTGAACCAGGTAGATTTAACAGCACGTGCTTTTGACGGACCCTCTGCGAACAGAAGGTGGAGGGTCCGATTCCGGGGCTGTTGAGGGCAGCGAGCTGCTTTGCATCGCCTTTCCGCAGGGCAGCTCCGTCGGGCTCCATGAGCCAGGAGGCGCCCCGGACATGCCGTCAAAGGGGTTTTCCCACCAAACCTGTGCACGGGACCAAAGCGCGCTCTGTATAACTTTCCCTTCCCGACAGAGGACAGATATCCAGCAGCAACAGGATATCCAGATGGAACTGCAACGAAAACACTTCCTTTGTCCCCAGGAACTGCCATCCTGCTGCGCAGGAGCCGCCTCACGTGCTCATGAAATGCAAACCAAGGCCCTGCTCACCGTATTTTCTGGCCATCCAGAAGGAATCTTGTTTGGCTTCCTAGTCACGTTCTGAGGGGGTTGTTTGGTAGATGGAAAATCACCTGCAGCTGTTGCTGAGGGTTTTGAGACACCAGGTGTAACTGGAAAATGAAAGGGGAGGCAGGGCTGAGCCTCCCAATTTGGGCTCCAATAATGGTAATGATTCAATAATTACCATCAAAGAAGAGGAGGAGGGAGGACGGCGAAGGTGGTTTGATCACACAGATGCCCATCAGCCAAGTCGTAACCTGAGGCATGCTAAAGGCAGCAGTTCAGTGAAAGGACAGGCTTTCCAGGGCTGTAATTACCGGTCCTGCAGTGCCTCCGGGCAGCGGGGAGCTGGTTCCACGGGAAGAGCTGCTGGTCGCCCTGGGTGGGTACGGACGCCTGGCTTGGTGGGGGACAGAGCACGAGGCACTTGGAGCTGAGTCTCCATCGCATATTTACACCTGAGAAGCTTTGGGACTTTTTAAGTTACGCCCTGGGGGATGTGTTTGTTCATCCTTCGCTCCGGCAACGTTGGCATCAGCGTCTCCCATTAATTTCTGAGAGAATGCAAACGTTGAGATAGCTACCAGAAATCCCTTTGAAGCGAAGTATCAGCAGATGGGACAAAGCAGTAAAGAAAAGAGATTTGTAACGGCTGGCACACGTCGAGTCGTCCCTAATTCATACTTTACAACAAGCCATGTTCTTAATCGCTTTTTGGGACCGGTGTGAGCGCAGCCCAGGCTGCAGGCAGCTCCGACAGGCACGTCCGTGCAATATAGCCGCAAACACGACGCGTCCATCCCCGGAAAGGTACTTCAGTTCACAGCACGTGTTGCCGCCCGAGTGGCGTCCCTGACACCCGGGGGTGATAGATGGAGCCGGCCGCAGGGTCAGGCTCGCTTACCAGCATTATTCTAGTAAGGATGTGATAAGATAAGATGCTTCTCCTCCCCAGCTCTCTGAACTATGCCCCTGGCACCTGCACCCGGCAGTATTTGCATGTTAAAAGCAAGGGGGCAGGTAAGAGGCATGTGGTAGTTTGCCACATTACGGAATTTCTGCCAGCGTTACTGGGCGGAGGAGGAAGCGCGGGAACGCCTGCGCCCTGCCTTCTGCTCCAGCGTATTTAACCACGGGAGTCGTGCCCGGAGCCGCATCTCTGCTCAGCCTCCAGCTGCCCTGGGGCGGGAGGAGCAGGCTTGGGGGAGGTGCGCCAAGATGAGCTGCGGCAGGTACCCAGTGAGCGTGAAGGCTGTAGGCTTGATGCAATGCAGAAAGCAGAAGGTACTTTAATTTTTTTTTTTGTTGGACTTTTTTTTTTCCTCCTTAAATATTTACAAATTGGGAAACTAGAGGGCTTTCTGAGTTACTCTTACAGGGGTGTACTTGCTCATTTCCCCACAGTGTTGGGATTAGAGCCTTGTGATCTAGGACAGAGGTCTTGCACTTGTTTTTTAATGGTCTTAATATCATAAGAAAACAGTTATCTTGGATTCTGCTGCCTTTCTCTTCACAGCGTCATAAATTTCTTCTGGTTTTAACAATTATTACCCATTTGGGGCCCTAAAATTAAGGAAATATTTTTGTAGGTCTAATGTTTAATTTAATTTTTAAATGTGACAGTCTTGCAGCCTAAAGCTGAACTAAGCCACAGGTCCTGGCAAATGCTGATTGCTTGAAAGCATCCAATATTGAACATTGTAATTAAAAAAAGTGCACTTCTTCTCCCTTCTATTTTTCCAGAACTACATGATGTTTGTGTCTTGGTCAGATCAGAACAACATTCTCATCTACCGGACATTCGAAGAGTTCAAGAGATTCCATGTAAGCGACTATTTCCCTGAAAATAGGATTCCCATCCTGGGGAGGGGGGAAGGAGCCCAGCCGTGTGTCGGGGCTGCGAAGCATCACTATTCTCTCCTCCTCCTCGCTTTTAGAAAGAGCTGAAGAGAAAATTCCCCGTCGAGAGCGGCTCACTCGGGAGATCTGACCGGACAATCCCCAGGTTTAAAGGTAAGGAGAACAAATCCCTGATGGACCAACAAACACGACAGAGCTGTCGGGGACAGTCGTAAGTGACGACACAGACTTCAGTCTCTGAGTCTGGCCTTCCTCTGGAACAGATTAACAGCTCCTGCTCGTGGCACGGTACTGCTGGGTTACATCCACGTGCTTGCGTCTACTACTGACTTAAAATAACCCAGAAAGGTTTGGTTTTTTTTTAATAGATAATTGCACTTGGTAAATTAATGTTACACTTTAAATATTGGCCCAGAGCTCCTTGTAACATTTACCTGTGAACAAAGATAAATTTTAGATATTCAAAAATTGTAGCAGGAGCTATTAAAATGGTAGGGAGGCGGAGCCAGCTTCTGTCTCGGCTTCTTGCCGTTTGGGCTCGTGCGGGGAAGGGTGGTAGGTGAGGGCACCCCCGTGTTCAGGCAAAAGATGCTGCTCTCAAGGCGTCCAGATCTGTTGTTGTCTTACACCAACTTTGCTCTTGTTATTTTAAAGATGCAAATGCGAAGCAGAGGAAGAGTGGGAAGCTGAACAGGTGCCTGGAGATACTGAAACTGCTGGAAACTTACTCCCAGGAGCTGCTGAAAACGGATGCTAAAATCTCCCAGGGTGAAGATGTGATTCAGTTTTTCAAGGCGCAGACCCAAGACCTAGATCCCTCCTTTCCTGAAAACAGGTATGAAATCATATTTGTGGTTTTTGTTTGTGTGTGTCTTCATGAAACAGAAATGTTATAGAATAAGGGTAGAAGGGGAACAACAGTTACGTACTGGGGCAGCTGAGCAGGGAAGTTCTACTGAATGCTTTATCTAAAGCATGTTTATGTCGTTTCTGACGCCTAAGCTTTTCTTGGCCTACTGCGTAGATAATTTTACCAGAATCAATACTAAACTCAACCTTCCACGTGAGTTTTCAGTAAACTGATTTTAAACTTTACTTTTCAGTGTTGTGATCATGCCATCAGAAATTGGAGGGGAAAAGAAAAACCAGCCGCGGCAGCACCTCGCCTCTATTACACACCCCCAGGCATCCCAGAGCTACCGATGCATAGAAACCTTTGAAACCAAAGACACAAAGAACAGGGCTTTCAAAGTCGCTAAGAAGGAAATCGTTGAAGTGTTAATGAAGGACATGACGGGTAGGTGCGACAGGGATTCTTCCGTTTCAGGGATGGATGGTGTAGATTGATTCATCGCTTGGCAAATGCCGAGTCGGTCGCAGCACGGGTGCGGGTGGGTGTTTGTACGTGTGGCGTGCTTGCCCGGATTTACACGGGAGGAAAGAACAAAGTGTCAGCAGGGCCTCGGCCAGGCTCTGAGCGGCTCTGCAGAATGTCCCTGCCGTCTCTTGCGGCAGAGCAGCCCCTACCCAGGGATTATGGTCATCTGTCTACTTGCAGGCTGTTAAAAACCTTTTTTTTTTTTCCCCTTTTCTGTCTGCTGCAGGATGGTGGCTAGTGGAAAACGCAGACAAGCAGATAGCCTGGTTCCCAGCCTCGTACCTGGAAGACATTGACGTCCACAAGGACATCCAGAATGCCTTGAGCTCAAAGGAGGAGGGTAAGTCTGCTTCTGGCTCCCAGGGACACCACGTTCCTCCTGCAGAAAATGAGTTCCGTAAAACCCCCGCCACTTCAACCATTG